AGATAATACTAGACCATCTGATGTTCTAGAAATCTTAATTCCTAGTATGACATCTGCTATGCCTAAATCTTTCATATCAAAATTTTTGGTCAACATCTTTTTAGTAGTTTTGATTATAACATCATTACTACCCATTATAAGCATATCATCCACATATAGGCACACAATGACATATCCATTTTGAGTGTTTTTCACATACACACATTTATCACACTCATTAATTTTAAAACCATTTGACAACATCACTTTGTCAAATTTTTCATGCCATTGTTTAGGTGCTTGTTTTAATCCATATAAGGATTTTACAAGTTTGCACACCTTCTTTTCTTTCCCTGGAACTATAAACCCTTCAGGTTGTTCCATATAGATTTCCTCCTCTAATTCACCATTTAAAAAGGCAGTCTTAACATCCATTTGATGTATTTCTAAGTTTTGCAGTGCTGCAATAGCTAGTAACAATCTAATGGATGTTATTCTTGTGACTGGTGAATATGTATCAAAATAATCCAGGCCTTCTTTTTGCCTATATCCCTTAGCAACAAGTCGGGCTTTATATTTTTCAATTGAACCATCAGGCTTCATCTTCCTCTTGAAAATCCACTTATACCCTAAAGGTTTAGTACCAGGAGGAAGATCCACCAACTCCCAAGTATGATTTTGCATGATGGATTCAATTTCACTATTTATGGCTTCTTTCCATAAATTAGCTTCAGGAGAAGACATAGCTTCCTTGTAGCTTTGTGGCTCATTCTCCAATATATATGTCAGAAAGTCAGGACCGAATGACTTAGACGTTCTAGCTCTTTTGCTACGTCTAGGTTCTTCCTCATTTTCATCATCTATAGACTCTTGGTCTATATTCTCTTGTATATTGCTATTAGCAGTATCATAATTTCTTTTAAGAGGATTTTTGCAAGGAAATATATCCTCAAAGAAATAAGCATTCCTTGACTCAATAATTGTATTGACATGGATATCAGGAATGTCTGATTTATGCACAAGAAAACGATATGCACTACTATTCTGTGCATAGCCTATGAAAATACCATCAAAGGTTTTTGGTCCTATCTTAACTTTCTTAGGAGTAGGAACCGCAACCTTAGCTAAACACCCCCATACTTTTAAGAATTTATAGGAAGGTTTTTGACCTTTCCATAATTCATAAGGTGTCACCTTTGATTTCTTTTGAGGTACCTTGTTGAGAACATAATTAGCAGAGAGCAAAGCTTCCCCCCACAAATTCTGGGTTAAACCAGAACTTATCAACATAGCATTCATCATTTCTTTTAAGGTACGATTTTTGCGTTCAGCAACACCGTTCTGTTGAGGTGAATAAGGAGCGGTAGTTTGGTGAATAATACCATGTTCTGAACAAATGTCAGCGAATGGTATTTCGTATTCACCACCTCTATCACTTCTAAACATCTTTATCTTTTTTCCAAGTTGATTCTCAACCTCATTCTTGTAATGTTTAAACATTTCCAAGGCTTCATCTTTACTTCTTAACAAGTATACATAACAATATCTTGTGCAGTCATCAATAAAAGTAACGAAATACTTTTTCCCACCTCTAGTTGGCACAGATTTAAAGTCACAGATATCACTGTGAATTAATGCTAGAGGTTCAGTACTTCGTTCTATGGAGTGAAATGAGGTTCTAGTCAATTTTGCTTCTACACATGTTTGGCATTTTTGATTTAAATCAATATTAAATTTAGGTATAGATTCCATGTTAATCAATCTACGAATAGTATCATAATTAACATGTCCTAACCTACCATGCCATACATCAGATGAGTCAATAATATAAGCAGAAGAAGCATTAGCTTTATTATTATCATTAATAGCTTTGGGTACAACAGTCATTACATTGAACTTAAATAGTCCATTACTTAGATACCCTTTGCCCACATACACCCCATTCTTAGTCAGCACAAACTTATCAGATACAAAGACCAGCTTGAACCCATTCTTGCTTAGTAGTGACCCAGAGACCAAGTTCTTCCTGATGTCTGGTACATGCAGCACATTATTAAGAGTGAGCTCTTTTCCTGAGGTCATTAGTAGCTTGATCTTTCCTTGTCCTTCAACCTTTGCAGTAGAAGAATTCCCCATGTAGAGTTGTTCTTCATTATTTATAGTTTCATAGGTAGTGAACATCCTCTTTTCAGAGCAAACATGACGAGTAGCTCCTGTGTCCACCCACCATTCTCTGTTGTTGCTTACCAGGTTGATTTCAGAAACCACAGCTGAAAGATTTAACTCTGATACATCAGCTGTCAACTTATCTTCTTCAGCTATGTGCACCTCAGTGGTCTTCTTTTTGGGGTTATGATGTGTTTTGCGGCTACGACAATCTTTAGCTCGGTGTCCTAGCTTGCCGCATATGAAACACTTCCCGGTGAACTTCTTGTAGTTTCCTTGGCTAGGACCTTCTCCAGAGTGCTTCCTCTTCTTATTTTTCTGTCCTGCTTCTACTACATTTGCCTTTGACACTATTGAAGAATTTCCGGCTCTCTTTTCAGATGTACGGTTATCTTCTTCAATTCTCAGCCTGACAATTAAGTCTTCGAGCCCCATTTCCTTGCGCTTATGCTTCAAGTAATTTTTGAAATCTTTCCAAGTAGGTGGCAGCTTTTCAATGATTGAAGCTACTTGAAAGGATTCACTCAATGTCATCTTCTCAGCATGTATCTCATGTAGGATTAGCTGGAGCTCCTGCACTTGGCTCACGACTGTCTTGGAGTCTATCATTTTGAAGTCCAGAAATCGTCCAACCACGAATTTCTTCAATCCAGCATCCTCTGTTTTATACTTTTTGTCTAACGACTCCCAAAGCTCTTTAGCAGTATTTATTGGACTGTACACATTATATAAGGTGTTGTCCAATCCATTGAGGATGTAGTTCTTGCATAGGAAGTCTCCATGCTTCCATGTATCAACAGCTCCAAGCTTGGTAATGTCTGTATCACCCTCATCTAACACTGGAGCAGTCTCAGTCAGATACTTGCTTAGATTCAGAGTTGTAAGGTAGAACATCATTTTCTGTTGCCACCTTTTAAACTCTGTCCCGTTGAATTTTTCGGGCTTCTCCCCATGACTGACGGGAACATTAGGCACGGTAATACTCGTACTTGCCATTTGTCTGTTATATATTGATATACAGACCACGAGTCAAATTATAATTAATTATAAGAAGAATAATAATTAAATAATTATTACTATAGTATAAAGATATCTGTCTTAAGATTGTTAAACAAAAATAATAAATAATGTATCATATACTATAGTATAATTTATTTAAATATTATTTGTAAATATAATATTTATTATAATAATCTATATAATATCAAGAAAATAAAACTATAAAAGAACCTGATAAAGTCGAGGCTAGAATTTAATTCTATAGCCTTAAGACAGATACGCCCCGCTACGGTGCTAACGGACTCTTCGGCGTCTATCTCCCAGGATACAACGACTTTTCTTCCTTTGGTAGTAGCACTTCAAACCAATGGAATAGGCGAACCGACTCGGTGTAGCACTCTCTGTTGAACTCAGACTCGGAGACCAGGATTGAATCCTAACTCGGAGACCAAGATTGAACCTAAACTTGGAAACCAAGGTTCGAACCCAATCCAAACCAGTTTAGGTTGAACCCAAACCAGTGGCTGAACCGAACAAAGAAGAATTAGAAGAAGAAATTCAGAAGAAGAGAAGAAGATTTCTGAATTTGGTGTGAATTGAAATGAACCCAATGATGGGTATTTATAGGCTTGTTGGTGCCTATTCTGAATGGGTGCACCCATAGTCCGAATGGGTGCAACCATTGTTGACCAATGGTTTTTAATTTGTAAAGGGTGCAACCCTTGGTTAAAAAAAAAACAGTTTTTGATTTGAATTTAAACCCAAAACAGATTAAGCCCAGCAAGCAAACTTCGGCAGCCCAGCCCAGCCCAGCGTGCTCCACCCGCAAGCCAACAAAATAAAATTACCACACAGGCCCATCCTAACTTTGGGTAAAAAGTTAAACCCATTTCACAATCAAGCCCCGCCCTAGCCCGGGTCGGGTCGGGCGGGCGGCGCGCGCGTGTGGTAGTTGGTTCGGATCCAGGCTAGCCTAGGTCCTCCCCTCTTAAAAACTTGGGTGCCCTTGGGCCCAAACCCAAATCCCATACTAGACATATATATACTCAAGGTTGCTTTGCTACTTTTCCGATGTGGGACAAGCATTTCCCACTTTATTCACACCCATTTAGGCTTTATAAATCACTTACTTTGGAGCCAATTTCTCATTCACCCGGAAACGGATTTGAGAAAATAAATATACCATGTTCATCTCCTCGCAGAGAGGAACGCGCTCATCAATAGATTCGCAAAAAATTCTTAGCGGAATCTTTTTAAAAATCCTTCCAAAGTTTGCGTTTTTTAATGCCGTTTCCAACAAGAATTTCACTACAATAAACACAAATCTTATGACTGTTAGACACGAATCAGCTTTATGTTTTTCCACTTTCTGAAAAGGTTAAATTATTATTTGCCTGCAAATTTCTTGGACAGGGTATTAAAGGTTCAATTTTGAAAAAGATCTGTTGTTGGAAAAGGGAAATGTATATGTGAAACAGGTCTGCAAGAGCTTCTGGTTAATTTGAATTTTGGCAGAAGACTGGTTACTGGTTTTCGCCGCATGGTCTCTTCCTTTTAGTATCACATGGAAGGGAACACTAGAGCTCCAGTTAGAATACAGAGTTTTCTTTTGACATAACAAAGTTTTGATGCTTGGAATTTTGGGCACCAGTGGGCTAAATAAGGAAGAACCCTAATACACATGTCCTTTTCCCTAAATTAATAGTCAATTGACCTAGTACATGATAACACAAAGGCTCTCAACCCATGCAGAGTCTGCTGAAATCCTCGTACGGTTCTTGTGTTCTCTCATAAATCAAGATCCAACTTCCAACTTCAAAATATAGAGTTGATAGTTATACACATGCACACACATACATTTACATAGAAAAGGTGGGACAAAGAATGATATTCATATATGCTTAATAATGAATGATTTTTGGTGCTTTTAAGTCGTAAGAATTTTGTTCTTGAGAGGTTACAAATTTGAATATACAGATCAACCCATCTTTCAAAATATTTTACAATGGAATTTTCAGTATCATGAATGACAACTCCTCTCCAGAATATTCTCAACAAAATTTGCATTATAAGCAAAATATTGGTTACAAGAGGAAGGAGAGTCCAGGTTAATGCCTATCATGATAGCTTCTCTTCTTAAAGGTTGAGACTTTTGCTAGAATAACTCGAACTCCAGGTGCTCCCCTGTAGCCCTATACTCCAGAAACTTTTTTCCCTCTTCCTGAGTCACCATGTTCAGCAATCCTGTATCACAGAACTCGGGTAGTTGAGGTGGAGTGGCACAGCGGATCAGTGCCCAATTTAGGCCATCGAAGAATGGATGCTGCTTGATCTCAGCAGCCCCTTTCTCTGACCCCAACCGATTCTCGGGCTCCTTTACCAGCAAGCCTCTGATGAGATCCCTTGCCTGAATGCTAACAAGTGGGCTGTCTGGTAATTCGAGGCTCTGCAGCAACACATTGGCTAAAGTTTCATCATTCCCAGAACCTTTGAAAGGTGTCTTACCATATAGAAGCTCATAAAGAAAGATACCAAATGTCCACCAATCAACAGCACTCCCATGACCCTCTCCTTTGATAATTTCGGGAGCTAAGTACTCATGGGTCCCAACAAAGGAGTTGGATCGTGCATCTGTTGGCTCAGCCACAAGCTGTGGCAACAATCTGGCCTGGACTGCGGGGTCAGCCTTTATCCTCCTTGGTTTTGAAGAAGCAGGTAAAAACCTAGGGCTGAAGCACGGGACTTGGCAGGATGGTTCAATGCAAAGAGGGTTAGATCCTGTGCATGGACCTGACATCTTTGGAGGCTCCATACTTGATGAAGATTTCAGGAGAATGGGATATACATTGCATCTAAGTGAAAGGTCAAAATCTGTAAGCATGATGTGACCATCTTCTCGAACAAGAATATTCTCTGGTTTCAAGTCTCGATAGACCACACCAAGCATATGTAAGTACTCCAAAGCGAGGAGGACTTCAGCCATGTAGAACCTGAACATACAAGTGGTGACATTACCTAGAAGATAGCGTGATCCAGAAAAGGATATAACGACTACATTCAGTTGACCAGTAAGTCACTTTAAATGCCTAAATTAATCTAATTTAGATTCTGGCACAGATTTCAATGATGGAAATGAGGATAAAGAACCCATTAAGGCTGGCGTAAAAAGGATGAAATTGTTACTGTTGCACAAGTCAATAACATTCAGAACAAGTAGATTGAAGATCTGGGAGCAACGAGGTACACTAACACTAGTTATTAAGAGTAGAACATGAATTTAAACACAGTATTATCACGGTGATACAGAAATATCAGTCAATGTAAACAGTATCAGATTGAGATCTCCATTCATGGTAGAACTGTATACAATACAGTCTCTTATTTTTAATCAAGACATGCAATTTTTGAACCCGTGAAATTTTTATCTAAGGAGTTGACAGGAGTTCATGCCCACCTTCTAATTTACAAGTGAAAATCTAATTCATATTTTGACCAATCAATTACTTTAGCAGGACCTACAATTAATAGAAAACTATAATTATATGCCGTCAAATAATTGGTGTAATTGGCAGTAATGGTAACCTACCTCATTATTATCATCATCCTTGCATTTATCCCATATGAATGGGATCGGCAATAGCATCCTACCTCCAACAGTGAAATGCTAGTTCAGGACTTCTGAAGACTTCGACAAAAGGTGCAAAAATGTGAAAGATAAGGTTTGAAACTGTTTTTTTTTTAATTTTTTTAACAAAAAAACCTTGTAGATTGACATGCTGCGAGTGGTTGTAATGGCCATTCCACTGCACCGTAACGAGCAGTATGGCCAATATGGTATCATGAGGTTTTGAATCATGGTCCCTATGTAACATCGTGGGCATCAGGCACCACAAACCCATAGAATATGTTTCCTTGATATGTTATTATTCACACAAGTTATGCAAAGATGTGACACTATGACTTTGAGAACACGTTTCCTTTACTACATTCAATGATTTATAATCTTCATTTGCATTTATATTCACACTCGTACAAGTTATTTAGAAATGAAAAAAAGAGTTTTTCCTTTTGACAGTGATAAACCGATGGACAGTTCATTATCATACTAAATCATACGTGTATGTCGTGCAATATTTGCTAAAATTTAAGTACTTTATGAGCTTAGAGCATTTGTATATGTGAATATTTAGTAAAATGTGCTCAGAGATAAATCATGGTTTTGGTATCTATGATTCATGGCAAAACTTCAGTCATAACCCATGTCCATCTAATGGTGACAACAGGCAGAACCATGATTTAAAACCATTCTCTAATATGAGACACAAAACGACTTACACACGTGTAATTATTAATCACACCAACATATGGAGCCTTTTTAAACTGCATTCAAGGCAGACAGAGGAGGAACTGTGAACAAGTACAAATTAAGGCTGTGGGCTGGCCCAAGGAAAAATGAGCTATAAACTAACATTCAAGGCAATTAAACCTCCTCCCACAACCCCAAAGAAAAAGTGATGCATAAAAAATAAGCAACTACACAAGTTCGTCTTAAAATCTCAAAGAATGCCTTATTTCATAACATTTCTCATTCATCTCTAGTGTACCCTTTTATCTCAACCTCTTCTTTCATGACTTACACTTTGGACAGATTGAGCGTACCTCATGTTTGTTGTTCCTCTTTGTTTTGTACAAGTTTTTGGAGATAGGCAGCTAAGTTGAAGATACTTGGAATAATGTCTATGTTTGACTTTTGTCTTCTTTTTTTTTTTTTCTTTTTTTTCTTTTCTATTCTTACTTGTTTCAATTTTTCAATGTTTAGTTGATATTATGTAAGCTGAAAAGCATATGCAAAAACCGTCACTAATAGACCTTCTATTTAAGTTTTGTACCTTGCTGCTTGTTCAGGAAAATGTCTGTCAGGCTGCTTCTGCCGGAGGACATGCAGATCTCCACCTGGACAATACTCCATTACTAAACATGATAAATTATCTGACGTGAACTGGGCATATAGCGTAGGGAGAAAAGGATGATCCAACATTTTCAGTATGTTTCTCTCAGTTCGGGCTCTTGTAATCTTATTTCTTCTTGCCAAGTATTCATTGTCCATGACCTTTATAGCAAATAGGCAGTTTGTTCCAATTAATTTGGTAAGATATACTGTGCCAATGTCTCCGCAACCAAGCTTCTGTAATAAATTGAAATGTCTCAACTCTAGGTTACCATGCAGCTTCCTAATATGGCAGATGGCTTCCCACCTTGAATCCTTCAACATGTGAGGTCTATTGCTCGACCAGCTTAGGTTATTCTCTTCAGTGACACTACTAGTGCTACTGCTATCACCAAGGTTACTTTTCGAACTTTGGGAGAATTCCTCCTTTCCTCTAGTTTCTGATTTCTTGTTAGCTTTTACGGCCATACTTCTGCTTTTATTAGAGTTCCTTTTAGCAAAGACTGATTTGCTGGCACCAGAGTTCATATTACTCGAGCTGACTTCAGCACTAAGACTTGCACAGTTGGATGATGGAGTATCTATACAGGACTCTTGTCTTGCATTTGCCAAAGCACAATGGCATCTCTGGCAAGCCAATTGACTAGTATTAGGATTCACATCTTCATTAAATTCATTATTCATGTTAGAAGTGGAGGAAGCAATGGATGAATCCTGTTTGAAATTCTTCTTCACGATAGCCTTGTTTCTGAGAACTGGCTTGATCAAACGGGCATTCCTTGTTGGCTTGCTTACCTTATTATTGCTGTTGATTGCACTAGATGAAGAAGATACACTTTGCAACCTGCCTTTCTGCCTTGACTTTGGAGCTGTAACTTTTTTTGCTAACATATCGGATGCATGAATGTTACCTGGCTCTACTATGTTAACACCAGCACTATGGCAAGATAGAGAAGCGACTGCTGTATGCTCGTCCTCCTGCGCCAGCTTTGTCTTCAGTGTTTGTCTCTGACCTTCTGATGATGCAGATATAATCTCATTTTCTATTGATGTTGACCCTGTTCCAATTTCTGTAGTTGCCAAAGCAAATTGAGGAGAAGAATCGGGAATTTGGTTGGATGATCTTGTCTTGGAAGCTTTCAGGTCCTGAGGTATCTTGTTAGAAGGATCTGATGTGCCTTCTTCAGGCACTACAGATGTTTTAACCCCCTTTTCCTTGCCTTCTTTCAGTGGAATACTAGATTTACCAGGTTCAACTACAATGGACCTGTACAAACTCGTTATTTTACTGGCTTCTGAGACCCTGGGAGAAGTTGTTGGCTTAAATAACCTTTTTGTGGCAGCCATTTCTGATGCCTGAGAAATGCATATTCCCCTTAGTGCCTGCTTCAGAGACACTGGCTCAGAAAATCCAATTCCCGGTGAATGAGACACACCCTGCCTAACTGGTTTCTTTAAGTCAGTTTTCTTGGAGGGGCCTATACCTGCTTTCTCTGAAAGACTAAAACCCTTGGATGAAGTTTTAAGACGAATTGCCTCCAAAAGCTTACTGATGTCATCTTCGAGAGAATTATCAGATACCAGTTTCACCAAACGAGGCTTCATCTCTTTGCTAGCTTCTCTTGATTGATGAAATCCTTTAGAATGTTGAATTGAATTCAGCTCTTCCTTTGATTCAACAATTTCACAAGTACCAGAAAATGAACCCATCTCTTGGGTTAACAGTCGGATAATCTAATTTTATATAGTGAGACAAAAAGGTAGAAGATGGCCTTGCAAGTTTAAACTAATCCAGTTGAGGAAATATTTTGGATATATACAGTGTTCAGAGATAAATCACATCACATGCACTCCAGAGCTTTATTTGACTGTACAGAAGCCAAATATTGTATAGTTGAACTCCTTTCCACAACCTTCAATAACTTCAAATTGCACCATCCAAACCTTAAAATGATCACGAAATTTTAGATAGTCTCGCCTTGTCCCACCCCTTCAGAAAAATTATATTAAAAGAAAAAGTTATAGCAAAGCAGGAGAGGCATCTATTTCATTAAAGTTCCACAGCTGCAACTAGGGCATCAAATTCTTACTTGAAGCAGAATGGTATGCATAAACATATTAAGAAATTAAAAATTCAAATATCCTTTGTGGTGGTCCAGTGCTATGATACTCAATTGAGCATTTGCCCAAATTCCTCAGGTCTTTGTTACATGGACTCTTCAAAAGTAGTGAAGTACCCGACAAACATATCCAATTATTCGATTACATTATATTATTACTTTAAAAAGAATTAAATTCCTATATTGAACATTACATTAGATAAAAATATTACTTTACTTTAGAAAATAAAATAAAATAATTAATAAAATAAATATTTAGCCGTGTTCATGTGTCCTTATGTTTGGAGATTTGACATATCCGACACATGGATACATACTCGTGTCCGACACCCGTACCCGAGTCTATGTAACATAGCCTCAGGTTCAATGCACTTGAATGGCCAAAGGGCAAAACTTTCTCACAACAGGGTTCCAGATGAATAATAGATGTTGTTAAAGCTAAACTATGGGTTACCGTCTTGGCATAAAACTGAGGAAAGGAAAAGGATGTTGCAAAAAATAACAGATAAGGAAAACAAGAACATAAGCAAAACATCAGATTTATGTGATTCACCAAAGACTAAGGCTACATAACAAGTGTGATTACCAATATACCTCAAAACCATTCGGGTGGTATGAAATTCAATATTATCAGACTCCATACTTCCTATCAAAGGAAATGTCGCATTATAGGTTTTTTTGGTTCCCAATAAATGAAAAGAAATAGACGATTTATGCTATATTGGACTGCAGACAGTAAAAACTCAAAATTGAAAATTTCAATATCTCTTTTTTTTTTTTTTCCCTGAAAGTTAATAACAATCATAGGGAGGTAACAATATTATCGCAACTCTATTTGCTTAGACCCAGCACAGTTTTAACAGCAATTCATAGAAACATTTTTCAATTAATAAGATGCATTACTTATGAACTACATGTGTTAATTCAAACAAAAAATAAATATATAAAAGTGCAAGCATAGATAATTAAATTACTCCTATTGTCGGTCGCTGATTCAAGGTGCTAGGACTTATGGACTGGATCCGAACCTGACAATTAGCCTATTTGCACAAATTGCCTACTCTAAGACAACAGGAGTAGTCAATTTTAATCAAACAAGAAAAATGACAATCAGATTATTTCACTTACCCGTCCATCAACACAATAAAATTCTCTTAACCAACACAAATCAAAAACAGAAAAGCCCCAAAAACAGTATTCTCTTAGAAAATGAAGGAAAGATAAAGAGAAATTAAAGTACTTGCCGCTTAAATTTTTCATCACATGAGTATCAAGAACAAAAAAAAAAAATCCTAAGAGGAAAATAACTATTCAGATTAGTTGCATGAGGTTTTCACTTTTTAGTACTTCCCCTCCTCCACAAAGAAAAAATAAATCCAATTATTTTAAACAAACAATAAGGCATATGTAGTTTTTTTTTGGATTACTCCACATATGAATCCAAAACTATTAATCACAGTATTTAAGGATGTTATGGATATATAGATATAATATATATATATATATATATATATGCACGGGTAGATAATAGATATACATTTGAATTGAATCAAGAGTAGAAGAGGAAAGTTTGCAGGGAATAAAGATTTTTAACAAAACCAGGGATTGCAACAAAAGCTTGAAGTGATTACTAGAAAACTTACCTGAGACAAAGTACAGAATGAGAATAAATTGAAATGGGTTTGCGACAATGTTGAGTTTGCAGGATCATCGGTGGAGAGGGTGATGGGAAGAGAGAGAGTACTGCCGAAAACTGTATGTATTTAGCTGTTTCTGTCTCTCCGCACAGAGAGTGAGCGACAAGCTCGATTACATTTGGCGGGTGGGACCCACTTGTGGTAGTGGGTCCCGCATTTACCCACCAGGAATTCTGGATCGACCCACCTTCTGGTAGTTGGTCCCACGTTTACCCACCCACCAGGATTTCTGGACCATTGCATACTTATTAAGCGGTGAAATAATAATACTATTGGAAAATTCTTTTTTATTTTAAATTTTAGAGGATGGCATATATAATAATAATTTACCAACTAAAATTTAACATACTAATTTATAGGCCATACTCATTTTCTCTACAGTTCTTGAATTCAAGGACAGAACTGAACTATGCAGAGACGTGGCCGAGTTTTTCAAAATTCTTAAAAAAATAGGACTTGTATAGTAAATTTTAAAATACCAAAAATATTTAAAATGTGACATTTCCAAGAATCGTAAACTAAAAATGTGTCTCTCTTAGTTTTCTCATTTTATGCTTAAGCATAGGCTACTCTTTCATTATGATTTCTTGACCGAATATTATTAATTAGTTAGTTATGCAAGATACAATTAAAAACATTGGTCAAATAATTCTTTACAAGTCCTCTGTTTCAAAAACATTTTCTTTTTATGTTTTTATTAATTTATGGAATTCTTTGGATTTATAAATAATATCATATTGTAAAGAAATATATTGTAATTTTAAGAACTTTTAAATTTATTCTCATGCTATAAATTTGGTCCCATTCTTTAGTAAGCAATTAAAAACTTGTTGCGTTCAGATTTTTAATTTTTCCCCCCTATTTGGACAGGCAGGTTGCTGAGCGACCTGAGCCCGGTTTGTATAAGTTGATTTATTAATAATATAATCTTTATTGCCAACCAACAAAAAAATTTTGAAAATCTAAGGGAACAAAATAAGGTCGGTGTAATTAGGGATACCATGTGTATTTTTATTAAGGAATTATCATGGAAGGTTAGGGTTAACAATGGATGGACCATAAATCGCACATGAGTGGTATATTTCTAAATACTATATTATATTTGACTGTATGATATTAGAATTGATAAAAATTAAATTATTATTATTTTTTTAATTTCATCAATTTTAATACTTCAATTTCATGCATATAGCCTATATATTTTTTTATTTTTATTTTTTTCTATTGGCCTGACGCACATTATTATTTGCAGTTTGCACATTAATAGTTGCTAACTTGCTCATGTTCTCTAACCCTTTAACTTGTCTGATGTGATTAGATAATTTATGGATGACAAATTTACATGAATCATTAAAAAGGAAATCAAAATAAGCTAATATAGGTAGAGTGTTGGAATAGGTTGAATTACCTGAATATAGAACTGTACACAAAAAATTTCTTAATATGCAATAAAATAATAGAAATAGTGGAACAAATAATCAATTTTATTAATATTTGATAAGTGAATACAATTCTTCTTCTGTCTTCTTTTTGGAACCCCTTTTTCCTTCCCCCTTCACTTCTATTTATAAACTTCATGAAATGACAAAATAGTAATTTGAGACACTTTAGATAATTATCATAATTATAATTTGGATAATTATCACTCATGATCATTGTCCTCATATATATATATATATATATATATATATATATATATATATATTAAGAGATCGACCAGATCCATGCTCGTAAGGCCATCTTGTCTGCTGAAGCTGCCACATTGCAGTTTGAAGCTCAAGACCTTGCTCACGAGCATGCAAATCTTCGTGGAGAATTACCTCAATTGGAAGAGTCAAAGAGGCAGGCCATGGTGGCCTTCAATCGGTCCTTAGTTATTTGGGCCGATTTCAAGGAAAAATTTGCAAACATATGAATTTTTATATTAGCTTCCTTTTGTGGCCATTTTAGTGTATGATCTTTAAATGATGTAATCTTTTACACTTCAATGAATAAATGGCCTCTTTTGTTACTCCAAACAAGCATCAACATTTTAGCGAGAAAAAATTTATTAAAATAGCCAAATCAGCCTAGAAAAATAGGCCGATTTTTATTACATAAAGGTACACATGGTCAGCCATAAGTACTGGCTAACATTAATTTTCCCTTTCAAAGATTACCGGTACGTACCTCTTGAGGTACTTGCCTTTAATGGGATAGTCATGTAATCGGCCACTGAAATACTTCAGCCTATATGCTCCTCCACTTAAGACTTGATGGACTAAGTATGGCCCTTCCCATTTTTGGGACCACTTCCCATATTTCCTATCGACTTTACCCACTGGCAAAACAACTTTCCAAACCAAATCTTCTTCAGCAAAAGACTTAGGTTTCACCCTCTTGTTGTAGATTCTCATCACTTTCTTCTTGTGAGCTATGATATGATCCAAGGCATCCCTTCTAAATTCATCCAAATCTTCCAATTCTACCAACATTGCTTGAGTATAATCAGCTGGAGTTAGATTATTTTGAAAAGCAACTCTGGCTGATTTAACCTTCATCTCCATAGGCAGAACAACATCATGACCATAAGTTAACATGTATGGTGTAACTCCTGTGCCTGTTCTTTTTGAGTTCCTATAGGCCCATAAAGCTTCAGACAAAGTCTCATGCCACCTTCTTGGCTTATCTTTGATCATTTTTTCAATGATCTCAATTAAAATTTTATTTGAAGATTCGGCCTGGCCATTTGCTTGAGCATAGTATGGCGTAGAGGCTGACATATGAATATTCATGTTGTGGCCGAATTGTAATACATCAGTTGCCCTAAATACTGTTGCATTGTCTGAAACAAGTGTTTCTGGAATCCCAAATCTGTGGATGATGTTTTGCTCCATGAAATTAATCACTGTTTGCTGATCAACCGCTTTGCAAGCCTTGGCCTCAACCCATTTAGTAAAATAATCTGTGGCAACAATCACCCAGTGATGGCCTTCGCTTGATGGTGGATTAACTTTACCAATAAGGTCAAGGCCCCAACCTCTGAATGGCCAAAGTTTGATTATTGGCTGTAATTATTTTGCTGGTACATTTTGAATCGGCCCGTGCCTTTGACAAGCTTGACAACCTTTTGAGTAATCTATGCAATCTTTCCTCATTTTCGGCCAATAATATCCATACCTGCGAATCAGCCATCTCATTTTAATCCCAGCTTGGTGAGCCCCACAGCTGCCCTCATGTACCTCGGCCATAACCTGAAGTGATTCCTCCTTGCTTATGCATTGTAGTAAAAGCCCATCTTCTAACCCTTTTCTTTATAGATCCCCATCTAGAAGCACAAAGTTGATCGCTTTTCTTTTAATACTTCTATCAGCCTTGATGTTTGGATTTCGAAGGAACATTATAAATGGTATCCTCCAGTCATCGTCGGCCAAATCTTTTACATCAATTGTCCAAGTATCAAACATAGTATTTCTCAATTCGGCCAATGGCAAAGATCTTCGTGTTATCTTTATCAACTGATCTTCTATTCCGACTGGTACTCTTATTCCTGATGCTGCTTGGGCTATGCTGTTGGTCTCCTTATTCTGCCCTCTCGGCCAAAACTTAAGTTAAACATTATCAAATTGATTGATTAATGAAGTGGCCAGAGAATGAAACGGCCTTAATTGCCAACTTAGGCACTTAAAATCTTCAGAAATTTGGCTAAGGACTAAGTTTGAATCTCCCAAAATCTTTACATCTCTAACCGCCATTTCAATTAAAATCTCCAGGCCGATTATAAGTGCTTCATATTCGGCCTGATTATTTGAACATTTAAAATCTAAGAAGAAAGAGAATGAAGCCTTTCTGCCAGCTGGCGAAATAATAACAATACCTGCTCCTTCTCCATCAGCCGTGCTTGATCCATCAAACATCAAGATCCAAGGAGTTAAGAATATAGCTGATGACTCCAATTCATCATAAACCCATGGATCAATATCAGTTGAAGGATGATTGGCCAAAAAATCAGCCAGAACCCTTCCTTTTACTGATTTTTGTGGGACGTAGATAAAATTGAATTCCATCAAAGCCAAAGCCCACTTACCTATTCGGCTAGTGATCAATGGCCTTGATAGCATATACTTGATCACGTTAGTCTGACAAAGAATGTAAACATCAACAGGCCGCATGTATACTCTCAACTTCATGGCCGAATAGTACAAAGATAAACAAAGCTTCTCAATTGAGGAATATCTGCATTCTACATCAGTTAGTACTCTACTCAGGTAGTAGACAGCCTGCTCCTTTCCATGTTCATTGTCTTGTGCGAGCATACTACCAATTGATTCTTCTGCGGCCGATAAATAAAGCTTTAACGGCCACTTCTTTCTTGGAGGCATTACAACCGGGGGGTTTGCCAAATACTCTTTTATTTTGTCAAAGGCCTTCTGATGGGATTCGTTCCAATGAAATTTCTCATGTGACTTTAATTTCACTAAAGTCGAAAAGACATGCACTCGGCCAGCATGGTTAGAAATAAATCTTCTAAGAAAACCTACCTGGTCGAGGAACCTTTGCACTTGTTTTTTGTTGGCTGGGTCCCTAGCATTTATAATAGCTTTGACCTTGTTCTGATCAACTTCAATACCTCGTTTGTGTACCAAGAACCCCAAGAAATTCCCGGCTGAAACTCCAAATGCACACTTCAATGGGTTCATTTTCAATTTGTGGACCCTCATCCTTTCAAAGGCCCTTTTCAAGTGTTCCATATGCTGTCTCTTGGCCGATGATTTCATAACTACATCATCTATATAAATTTCCATGAACCGGCCAATCATATCATGAAAGATAGAATTCATTGCCCTTTGATAAGTAGCCCCAGCATTTTTTAGGCCAAATGGCATCACAATCCACTCAAAAGTACCAATTGACCCAGGACATCTAAAAGCCGTTTTATGAACATCTTCCTCGGCTAAATAGATTTGATTATAACCTGAATGGCCGTCCATAAAAGACAATATTTCATGCTTAGCGGCCGAATCAATAAGTTGATCGGCCACAGGCATTGGATATTCATCTTTTGGAGTGACATTATTTAAATTGCGAAAATCCACACAAACTCTAAGTTTGCCATTCTTCTTTATCACCGGAACAACATTAGACAGCCATTCAACATACCTAACTGTTCGAATAAATCCTGCCTTAAGAAGTCTCTCAATTTCTTCTTTAATTTTAAGCATTACTTCCGAAGACATCCTTCTTGGTGGTTGTTTATATGGCTGAAAATCTTTCTTGATCGGTAATCTATGTTCTACCAATTTTCTAGACAGGCCAGGCATCTCTTCATAACTCCAAGCAAAGCAATCCTTATATTTATTTAATAATTTAATCAAATCGGCCTGGAATTTAGGCTCAAGCAAAGCACTAACAAATAATGGCCGATTATCTTTTTTAGTACCAACATTTATTTCCAATAAAGGATCTTGCACCTCTGCTTTATTATCTTCCATCCTGGAAGGGGCTGACTCTAAATCTTCAAGTTGGATTGCATCCAACTTTTCGAAACCTTCTTCAATTATATCGGCCGTGCTGGCCGATACCTCTTCATATAGCTGTTCTTCTCTGGCCAGTCTCTTCTCAGCCAGATATGCTTTCAGTCTTATGCAAGCGGCCCTGAAAGCTTGCCGCTTCTTTTTATCATTGGTTTTGTGATCCATCAGAAACATCTTCAATGTCCTTGATGGTCGACCTGAAAATATCAATTTTCGGCCGAGCTGCTTCTGACAATAATTCTTTAATATCAGCATTAATTAAATTTTTCTTCATTGTTGCCGCTGCTGGTCGTCCTATCCTGTTAATGCCAACAAATTTGATAGGTACAACAGTTTCATCATAAAGTGCAGCCTCAGCCGAATACACCCTAGCTATAAAGGGTTTGTTATCGACCTCAACAATTTTTACCTCATTTCCATCCCAAAAAATCAACATTTGATGCAAGGTTGATGGGATGCACATGTTCGGATGAATCCAATCTCGGCCTAAAAGGAGATTATAGGCCGCGGTTGAATCAATGATAAAGAAAGCCGTAAAGGATGTCTTACCGCCAATAGTAATTTCCAAAGGTAGAATACCTTTGGTGTCACTAGATCCTCCATTAAAACCACTGATGGCCACGTCGGTTGGAACTACATCGTCCATGGTTTTACCCAATTTCTTTAAAGTAGTTGCTGAAATGACATTCACCACCGAACCATTGTCAACCAAAACCCTATTGATTGGCTGACCCTCAACCCATACTTTAACATACAACGGCCTCAACTGCTGTGTCATGGACAAAGGTGGTTTTTCGAAAATGATTTTATCAGCCTTAGATGGCTGATCCTGAGAGATCAATCCTATCCCGGCCGATGAACTTGTCGAATCGTCCTTAATTTCTGAAGATTCAGCCTTTTCTTCCTGCTTGGCTGACTCAACATCCCTGTTCATCGTTGGTTCTATCCATGCTTCAAACACAGAAGGCAAAACAAATACCATGTTACAATTTACCTTATCCGGGAGAGAACCAAAACGAATTCTGTACTTGGCCGCATGCTTTGGATCCTGGTCGGGCTGATCATCTTTTTCTTCATAAAAGCATGCCTTATTCTCAAATGATGTAGCGACCTCCATGTCTTCAGCCACCACTGGTTCAATTTTCCTTTCTAGTTGATCATGGTCGATCTTGTCTTCTTTCCTTTTGAGTTCTGCATTTTTCCTTTGCATCCTCCTTTTTTGGGTACGTGTAGGAGGCTGCTTAGGAAACTTTGGGTGACTTACTCGAGTCCATCTGCCATGGTCAACCAAAGGAGGTCTAACCGTTCTTACACGGCTAGATTCTTCTCCTTTTTGAACCCATATTTCTGACTGAATTGTTGGTTTCCTTTTGAAACTAGGATAAAAATGTTGTTCTGGCAGGACTCTATCGGCCATCGATGACCGAATGATTCTCACTGCCCTCGTCCCATTTTCTCTAAATATTGATGGATTGATTTCTTCGTGATTCTGTCTAGGCTGATGGCTTAACCTTTCATGGACACTGCGCTTTCTGGTTGATTGGAAATAGCCCATCTTGTCTGAGTCATTCCTTCGACCTTTGCAATTTGGACAACAACCATGGTTGATGAGGGCAATTTGAGCTTCTCTTAACTGAATTTCTAAGTCCTTAACTTTCTGCTCATCATTACTGGCCGATGAACTACCAAGAACTTTTGGTAATCTTTCCTGTCTACCATTATCAGCGGCTTTTTCAGTTGCCAGGCTGATTACATTGGTACTGACAATATTAGGAAATGGATCGCCATCGACCCCCATTACATCTGACTTCTTTTCAGGGAATTTCAATACACCTGCATCGATAGATTTCTGCAATACATTTCTAAATACATAACAATTGTTAGTAGTATGATTCCATGAATTATGAAATTTGTAGAACTCTCTTCCTTTTAAATCATTGGTCGATGGTATATTGTGTCCTTTTAGCAAAACGATTTGTTTGTCGGCCAACAAATGATCAAAAATTTGTTCTGTTTTGGCCAGATCAAACGTATAAACCTTACCAGTATCAGCCGTACCCTTCCTGGCCGATGAAGTCGATCGCTGAGTACCACTGGTGGATACATTTGGTTTTGTTAAAGCGTCACATACATAAGGTTTCTTTAGAATGACTTCGGCTAAATTAGCTTCAAAATCTTCCTCTTCAACCACATCAGTTAAATAAACTTCATAGTTGGGGTCCCTATAGTACGTACCTTTAGAGGAACTTTTTTGTTCTTTCTCCTCTTTGAGAACCAACTCATACCTGGTAGCTTTCTCGGCCAGGTCATACATGTCACGAAATGGAACTCCTTCAAACCTCTTCCGAAGTTCAAAATCAAGGCCGTTCAAAGCCAAACGGATGTACTCCTGTTCTGGAAGAGGTACACGACATCTTAATCTTGCTCTCCTGAATCTTGCAATGAATGTCTCGACCGATTCACTAGGCAATTGACTTAGACTGCATAAATCGGCCAGAGTAGGTTCTGTCTCCGTACGGTAGAACTGATTGTGGAATAATTCCTCCATCTGTGGCCAATTAAAAACAGAGTTAGGAGGTAGACGAATATACCATGAAAAAGCTGCCCCTGTCAAAGAGTTAGGAAAAAGTCTCAATTTCAACCACGGGCTAACACTGGCCTCTCCACATTGAACAGTGAATCGGCCAATGTGTTCCACGGTCGATTGATTCCCCTCT